GTAATGAATTCTTCAAGGAATTTGCTGTTTTGCAGCTTTTATCTTTTTCTAGCATAGGCCTTTTGGTTGCTCAGTTTCAAAAGCACCAAGTTTATGCTTTCAGTGGGCATCGGGGTCAAGGGACCTCTGGATACAGTGTGGTTCCCGTCCACAGAGACGGGAGCATGCGTCCCGAGGAGGGGTCACTATGTTGAACTGACCAAGTTTGCCCAGGACTGACAACTTTCCCAGAATTCCAGGAAAAGATGAACAAACCATAGCTTCATTTGTAGCAGGTGAGGCCAGGTCTTTGTAACATGAAGAGTAAAAACCCAGAGACAGATATTGGAGTTCAAGCTGAAGATCGGAGAGACAAAGCAGCCAAGCCACAGAAGCTCTCACCTCTGCCAATGCTCAGACTGAAGGGGTGATCCTGTCATCAGACTGCATCTCCAGACTGCACTGCTCCAAGGTTGCCTCTGTCTTCACCTCAGTCTGCCCTGAAACTGCACTGAGCTCCTGCCTTATATTCCTCTCTAGTGCTGGGATTAAAGGCGTGCACCACCACCGTTCAGCTTCTATGGCTAACTAGTGTGGCTGCTGGGACTAAAGGTGTGTGTCACCACTGCCTGGCCTCTATGGCTGACTACTGTGGCTAGGTTTGCACTCTGATCTTCAGACAAGCTTTATTTGTTAGATCATAGACAAACTATCACCGCAGGTCCCTGAACAAGTCAGAAGATTACTTACTCCATCCCATTCCAGGGGGTTATGATGGAGGAGAAAAGGGTGCTTTGGAAACAAAAAATGTGTCACTTAACAAAAGGCGGTAGTTCCTTGGGTTATCAAGCAGGCACTGGGGATGGACCCAGACAGAAGGCATTGCACACTCAGCCATTAGGGGCCAGGACGATCATGGCTCATACCCAGAACTGTGCATGCTTACAAAGCATGGCCTGTGTCTTGAACTCAAGTTGAAGATTCCATTTCTTGGTGATTCAGCATGACTAAGAAGTGTCCTAGTTAGCTTCAACTGTCAACTTGACACAGCCTAGGGTCATCTGAGAAGAGAAGCCTCAACTGAGGAACTGCCTAGGTCAGACTGACCTGTGGGAGTTCTCTTCATTGTTAATTAGGTAGGAGGGCCCAGCCCACTGTGGGTGCCACCATTCCCTAGGCAGGTGGGCCTGGACTGTATAACACAACTAGCTCAGCATAGCAGGGAGTGACCCAGCATGCATCAGTCATCCAAGGTTTCTGCTTCAATGTCCTGCCTGCACTTCTTGCCCTGACTTCCCTCGGTGACGGATTGTAACCTATAAACTGAAACCAACTCTTTCCCTACCATCTTTTTGGTCATGATATTTGTCACGGCAACAGAATGAAAATAGAACACAAGGGGGAATTTACAATTTTGTTAAAGTGGCAGACCTTCATCTCGGGTATTTTCAAATTGAAACAGGGCTATATAGCTGAGTCCAGCAGGGTGTTCACCCTTCTGCTCTGTTGTCTAGAGAGCTTGTCCTCTTCCCACAAGCAGCCAGTGTTTCTAGCGTCTTCCATGCTCTTCTGGGCATTTGTGGAGACTCTAAACAGCATGTGTATTTTCCCTCAGATCTCTTAGATAAATGCTACCAGGCCAACGCTCCCCCCTTTGCTATTCCTCAAAAAAAGAAGATTAACCTGAAAGTAATTCCAGAGCCTTGCTGATCACCCAGAAGCTAGTTTCCCTAAAGAGCCAGGTGGCTGTTGGTGTTAAGGCCATGGGGGGAAGGTTTGCTGTTTGATCCATGCATCCTGTGTACTGGGAGTGACATGCCAAATTCTGATTGGTCGTATCCAAGTAATGAATGAATGAGAGAGGAAAACACATTTTTATAGGTGGTAAGAATGGAAGGAAGGGACCTGAGAAACAGTTAATCCCTTGGAAGGAGGGCGTTTCCTTCACGATCTGAGATGCCACGAACGCATTTTGGAAAATGGTATACAATCGGAGATGAGGCGGCCTGCTTCAGCTGATGAGAACACCCTTTCCCGTGTTCTCTCAGGACTCCTTGGATTGTCAGTATGAGTGTGTCTGCTTCCCCAGAGAAAGCCCTCTGAAGACAAAGACCATGTCACAGTCACTTTCCCCAACAGCTCGCCTGCAGCTAGCACACTCAAACCCAAGTGATTCTGCCATCAGAGGTAGCTGAACAAGACATCTGGGCAGGAGGAGGCCAGGGAGGAGCGGGAAAAAGAAACGAAAAGCAAGACAGAGCACATACATCATTCACAGCTTGCTGCGTGTTTCCCCCTGCCAGGGAAAGCCCTCGGTTGCAGTTTCCTATGACAGAATGTTGGAAATGTGGCTGGCCAGACGACAGGAATGCCCTGCACAGAGCTAAGAATACACAGATTGGCTTCACAATGTCTATTTTTGCTCCCAGTAGGAAGGGATATTTCCATCTCAGCTTTGAGGGGCAGCTGAAGGAAAACTCACTGTGGTTCTCAAGGGCTGTTAGGAAGCAGCACATTTTAAAAACAGGTACTCACTTGAGAGGTCCCCTGAAAGACGCTCCGGGGTCTGGAATGGTAGGGGGATATCCCAAACTCGGGGAGCATCACTACTGGACAATGTGACCCTATAACTGGAGCATCGGCAAGTAGGAAATACCTGTGGTTTCCAAAACTGCCTGGGGAGCTAGTTCCCCAACATGCATTTAAGCAGAATCACACCGGGGAGCCCTCCTGGGGAGATTATATCTTAAGATGTATGGACAGCCCTGCAAAGGACTCCTCATGCCTACTCACTTGGAATGGTAATCCTACCCAGGGTTCTGATGGCCTAGCTATAAGGCCCTCGCAGGTTTGGTTTGAGAGCCAGAGCTAATGAACAAAACAAGCACAAAGGAACAAGGGCCCAGCAGACTCAGGATGGTGAAGACAGCTCAAGAGAGACGTCAACAGGGAACAGAGCTGGACAGAAAATAGCCCCTACTCCACTGTCATGCCTCTCCGATACCAAGGGTGTCTGTCACAATGCTGCCCCCAACCAGTTGCACTCTGGTTTCTAGGTAGCTGCTGGCAGACAGAGTTCCCAGGAACCCTCCAGCCCTATCGCTGTGCCCTGAGCCACCATCATCTCCAAAGTCTCACCTTGTACGCGGTGCCTTTGTCTCCTACACAGGTATCCTGCTCAAAAGACAACAGCACAGGCTCCCTGTCTTCAGAGGCAAAGCCCCCAAGGACCCCCTTCAGGCTTCCAGATGCTTCACATGAGACTGACTCTGTCACCCTCCTGTATGCCCCACCCCCCTCCTGTATGTCCCACCCCTCGTTTCCCACTTCCTCCCTGCTTTCTGCTCTAAAATGAACCCTTCCCACACGAGCTACCAGACTCCCCTGCCTTAACTTCTATATTCGTTTACATGGCTGTTAGTTATCCCACTCAAACTGGAACGTGCTACTCAGTCCCCTTTCCTTTAGGGGGACTTTCCTGGATTGCCACAGTCCTGGCCCGATTTGTTCTGAAATGCTAAATGATAATAGGCTCACAATCGGAGAATGAGAGAAGTGTTTGTGAACACTGGTGGGAGGTATTTTTCTGTATGTTTCTCTTATTGGTTGACGAATGAAACACTGGCCAAGCAGGAAGACAGGCGGGGTTAGGAGGCATGGAGAATTCTGGGAAGTGTAGGAGAGAGTCACAATGCTGTGCGAGGAGTAACACCATGCCAGGCATTACTGAGCAAGCCACGGCCTTGTGGCAATACGTAGATTGACAGAAATGGGTTAATAATTGAGACAGAGCTAGCCAACAAGAAGCCCTAGTCATCGGCCAACAGTATTATAATTAATAAAGTCTCTGTGTGTTCATTTGGGGCAAGGCCGCTGCAGAACTGGGTTGGAAATCCTAAAACAAAACGGTGCCCAACGTGAGGGGACAACCCCATCAGACCACCTACTCACAACAGGGCCAAGTGAGAAGGACAGTTGAATAAGAATGCTAGAAGGAGGCCTTCCTTGACGGTTAACGGTATTAGGAGGGGGAGGCATCTCCTTTCTGGCTTGGTACCCGAGTGAGGGTGCTGTCATTCAGTGCAATGAAGTAGGAATGACATCAGAGGAAGCCCCTGTGGCTAGGGGATGAGAAGAGGTTGCCTTTCAGGCAGACTGATTCTGAGGCTGCTGCAAAAAAATAAGGAATGGGGGTGCTGTCAATTAGCGATGGGGATCTTACAGTCCTGGGGTTCCCAAGCTGCCCGCCTGATGGAGGAAAGGCATGGCCAAGCCATGAAGTAATAAGTAGTAGATGCTGTGGGCCAGGCGGGAAAGAATCCTAGGAACCTAGAAGAGCAGGAGTGGAGGATCTGGGGCCTTTAAGACAGTGGCCTCACCGTGGCCCTGCAGGGCCTGGTGTAGCCTTCGACAATGCGATGGTCAGTCTTGGTTAACAGCCTCTAGGATTTAGCATCACCGTGGGAAAAACGCATGGGAGTGTGGGTAACAGAATTTCCAAGTTGTGTTAGTCGGCAAGACTCACGTCCCAAAGGAGGCAGACTGGGCAGGTCCTGGCCTGAGTAAAAAGTCAAGGGCACCCTGAGTACCAGGATTTATTTGTCTCTGTTTCACGACCTCTGATTCAGAGTGGCAGCTGCCTCATGTTCCCACCAGCAAGCCTCGTCAGCCATGATGGGACCCTCAAACTGTGAGCCAAAGTGAGCAGCTCTTCCTCTCTCCCTCGCTTCCTTCCATCGTTTCCTCCTCCCCTCCCCGCTCCCCTCTCCTATCTCTCTTCTCTCCCTCCCTCCTTCCCTTTCCTGTCTCTTCCATCATAGCCACAGTAAATGTAACTGATGTAAACAGCGGGGGTCACTGATGTCACACGGAGTGCAACACCAGCCTATGCACAGGTTCCAAGGTTTTCATGAACAGGGCTGCTCCAGAAGCAGCATTAGGCCAACACAGCTGTCGAGTGAGGCCCAGAGAGAAGCATGTGGGCAGAGGGAGGGCTGCCAGAAACCAGTCTGTAGACCTACCGAGCGGAGTGCCATAGGTACGAATCCAGTCTCCTCTTCCACTGAAAGGAAAAAGCTGAGCAGTGGCTGCTGCCCCCTGTGGGAGCCATGGCTCTCCTGGTGTCTAGGTTCTGCCATGTGCTGCCTCATCCTCTGGCCCTTGCCTGACATGGAGAACATCGCTGGGGGGCTCTGTGTTTGTTTCTAATGAAGACGCCAAGCTTCTCAAGGTGGGGGTGCCCAGCCTAAACAAGGTCACTTCTGGTGAGTTTTCTCCTGAAAGGCGTGGCCTCAAGCTAGTCCCCAACAGATAGCATCAGACCATGGTTTCTCAGTACAGAATTCTCTGCATCCTTCTGCCCTCCCACTTCTCAGTGAGTAGCTGTGCTGAGCCACGGATACTTACTACAGATGACTCTGCCTGATTCTTCCAGGAAATTCAGCTACCCTGAACCTAGTCACCTGGCGGAGATTTGGCCAGCAGATGCCATGGCCATCCAGAGAAGCACATATCTGCAGGAGTCAGCAGACCATCCTCACGTGGCTAGGAGAATCTACTAAATGATGTCACAATTGTCAGGGACTGTTGGTTCACTACTCTGGTAGAAGGGCATGCTGGGAAATGTGTGGCTCGATAGAGGGGCCTTTGAGTCGAATGGACATAAGGCTTAAAATACTTCCAGACATAGACATGGATCGTTACCAGGGAAGAGGGAGGGAAGAAAGGATGTGGGCAGGCCTGAGGCTCCTCCCTCAGAGGTAATGTTGACCTGGAGAACATCAAGCCTATGCTTAGCGCCCATCAGAACTTAGGGAACCGGCCCAGGAAGGTGAAGGGGATGGCAAAACTCTCATCTGCCAAACGTTCCTTTGTGCCGTGGTGTCTGCATTCCTGACCTCAGCAATTCAGTCCACTGAGAAACGGACCCAGGATACAGAAACCATAGTGAAACCAAGGCAATTACCAAGAATGAGAATGATATACATTAAAAAAAAAACACTTTTGCAGCTGACCTGAGTAAGTGGGAGCTTATGGACCCCAGTTTGACAGCTGGGGAACCAGCAGAGGACCAAACCAGAACCCCTGAACATGGGCATCAGTTGGGAGACCTGAGCAGTCTATGGGGTCTCTGGCAGTGGAACCAGTATTTATCCCTAGTGCACGAATGGACTTTGGGAGTTCATTCCCTATGGAGGGACCCTCTCTCAGCCTACATATATGGAGGAGGGTCTAGGCCCTGCCCCAAATGATGTGACAGACTTTGATGATTCCCCATGGAAGGCCTCATCCTCCCTGGGGAGTGGATAGGGGTGGGATGGGGATTGTTGGAGGGCATGGGAGGACAGGAAGGAGAGGGGACTGGGATTGCTATGTAAAATAAGATTGTTTTAATTTAAATATAAATTTATAATAAAAAGGGGGAAAACCACTGGTTTGATGCTAGGGGATTCTTGGAAGAAGAGAGGGGGGTGGGGGATCATGAAGGATGAGTAAGAGCTAACGAGGTCTCAAAGGCAGCGCATCCAGGCAGATGGAACACTCGAGGTGACACGCTGAGTCCCTGGGACCAGCGAGGACACGATGCTCGTCCTGGTCCAACTTTCTTCATCCAGGAGACCATAACCATCTTCACCTTTTCAAGACTCTGCTTCCTCATGTCGGAAATATGGATTCCAAGGGTAGAGCAACCCTACTCAGCCCCTCTGACCATGTACAAATGTGTTAATCGATATTGCATGAAATTAAAAACTCTAGTTTCTTATACATAACAGTGACAATATAAACGCCAGTAGCCACGCCTGACTCCCAGCAGAAGACTGGACTGAGCAGACGTAAAGTAATTCCACCATTGCAGAATTGGTGATTTTGTTTGCTTAGAGGTGGGGTGTCATATTGCCTAGGCTAGTCTCAAAGTCACTATGCAGCCAAAGATGATTCTGAATTTCTGATGCTCCTCTTCCTCTTGAGCACTACAGTCACGTACCGCCACACCTGATGTGGGCCGTAGACAGAAGGCGGGGCTTCTTGCGTTCTGGCCAAGCACCCTGCCAACTGAGTCTCCACATTCAAAAAGCTCGGTCTCTTTTGTGCAAAAAAAAAAAAAAACAAAACAAAACAAAAGACAACCTGCAATAGTATTTGGCACAAAAAATGTTCAACAATCACACACGGACCTGCATATATGCAAAGGCAGGCCAAGTGTTTAATAACAAATATGATGCCACCTGTGTGATAATTACACTATGCAAAGGCCTGGGGTACGAATTCTCAAAACATGGAATGAACAGAGAAAAGAGACCCCCAAAGAAGCAGAATCTGTTTGGGAACAAGGCCACAAGGGAAGACGGGAAGGAAGAGAGCGAGGGAGACAGTACGCAGCAGACGGTAAGGAGTGCTCTCCTGCACGGAGGCCACAGGGCCGTGTCTGCCACTCTCCGCCTAGCGCCCGCTCTGATCTCTGCACACAGTCTCTCAGAGATGCCTCGCTGACTGGCTTCCGGTGGCATTTGGCTAATGGAAGGGAGAAATAAAAACAGAATCCGATTTGTAGAGTGAACTACGACCTGCAAAAGGCTAAGCTGAACCGCCGCTGATATGCGACACAAATTAAGCTCCAGGAATTTTTGGTCGTGTGTAGACCCCGATAAGACCACAAATTATAACAACATCTCCAGCTGAACTCACGGGCTCCTCAGATAGGATCACTGACTGCCACGGCAAATTGCCTAGTTCCTAAGTCTTGACCAATGGTTGTCCAGATTTCTCTTGCTCACATCTGCCTAAAGCCATTCTTACCAACCCCAGCCCTACAGTCCTGTAATTGCAGTCCTTAAGTCCCCTGTTTAGATACATTGTTGAGACCGTGTTTCAGGGTCCCTCTTCCTTGCCCGTGTTTAACAAACCCAGCTTCTTGAGAGACCAGCTTTCCATAGTATGGGGGATGTAGCCGGCGGCAGAGGCAGGATGGACAAAGAAGGAAGTCACAGCTGTGGATGAGAAACTAGCCATGCCAAGGAACTGGAAATGGGGGGAGGTCGTACTACCTTTATTTGAGAGGGAGAAGTCACTTACATGAGAAGCTGAGAACCGGGGTCAGCACACTCTGATCTCCTATCATGATCGTACCCCAAGAGAGAGCATGCCTCCTCTCGCCAATCCCCAAGCTCTTATATCCAGGCCCTACTACATACCTGTGACCACGCCCAAGTGGGTGTGGTCAGAGGTGCAGGTCTCTGTCTACACACAGTAGGTGTTATTTCCTCTTGTAGGTGCTATTTCCTCTCTCTCTCTCTCTCTCCCTCTCTCTCTCTCTCTCTCTCTCTCTCTCTCTCTCTCTCTCTCTCTCTCTCTCTCTCTCACACACACACATACACACACACATACACACACACACCCTCCTGGGGAAGACAGCACAGTATGCCTTGACTTGACAGAGGCAGACCCTGACTAAACCTGCTCAGTAGTGAAAAGGAAACTCACATACAGGAGTAATCACAGATGGGGACATGCCAAACACAAACACACGGACTTGGAAGCTGGGACCATCCTGGTTTGTTGAACTGCATGTGGCTGGGGCTGAGTCAGTGACTTCGAGTGGAATTTTTCTTTACCCCCTATGAACATCCACCAGGCATAACTCAGAAGCTGAAGACTCATCTGAAAATCCGTGGAAGCAAGTGCAGGGTCTGGTCCTCAGCTGACCTGCACTAATCAAACAGCCACTGGACAGACAGCATGAGACCTGTGTCCAACACTGCCTCCATGTGGCCGTGAGCTATATTACAGCAAGAGAGCATGGAAGGAGTAAACGGTTGCCATTTTCATCAGAGAAACTTCCCTTTTGAGTGACAGATTCTATGGTTGACACAGCCCATGGTCTTCCTGATAGTAATGACAGCCCAGAGAGGCTGGCAGAAAGCAGTTTGCAGGAGTGACACTGGGAAAAGGGGGGACAGAGTCTAGAGGTTTCACTTGCTGTATGTGACTGGGGCCTCATCATGCCATATTTCTGGCTTTAATCATTGTATTTTGAAGCATCCTTTCCATATCCAAGACTCTCTCGGGACTGCATACTCTTAACAACAGGGCCGAATGCAGAATCCCCTGAGCCCAGCGAATGGCGTCAAGTGTTCCCTCATAACTACTCATTTAATTGAACTGGATTACTGAACCCAAGTGTAGGCTCCTTCATAAGTTTAGCCTGGAGGCAAATGCAAGAGAGTCACCATCTCTGAGCCAGGGGGCTACCGGTCACTAAAGGAGTCACAGCAGCGCTCCCTGTGTGAAAGGAGAGAGAGAGGGGGAGAGAGAGAGATTGAGAGAGGGAGAGATTGAGAGAGGGGGGAGGAGAGAGAGGGGGAGGAGAGAGAGAGGGGGGGACAAAGAGATTGAGAGAGGGGGGAAGAGAGAGAGAGGGAGGGAGGAGAGAGAGAGAGGGGGGAGAGAGACAGAGACAGAGAGAGACAGAGACAGAGACAGAGAGAGAGACAGAGAGACAGAGCAGCACAGCATCCTTTCACAGCAGAGATCAGAGAGGTTAAGCCACTGGGAGTATCACAGCCACCAGGGTCTCCCAGCGACAGAAACTAGTCTGCCAGCTTCCCTTTTCCCTGGGCCAACTGGCTTCCACAAAGAGACTCTGCCTCCTCCCTGGGACGCCCCCCCCCGGGGCTGGCAGCACATTTGTCTCTGGTCCCAGAATGGAGCACGAAGGCTTCCTGGGGCTTCCTAAGTGTTTTTCGGTGTTAGGCCCTGCAGGAAGCCAAGTTAGGAAGCAGAAAGAACAAAGAACTGCAAGGGACATCTCCAGGGGCTCCCAGGGACATCTCCAGGGGCTCCCAACAGCAGGAGCTCCAGGAATAAAAAAACCAAGCTGCAAGCTGAGTTTCCACTACTCTCTAAAGTCTCTGAATCCGCTCTCCCCGCCTAGTCTCCTGGGCCTGGGCTCTCTTCCCTGTCAGGAGCTCCAGCTGCGGTTTCAGAGGCCGCTGTGCAGCCTGGTGAGGTGGCAGGTAAGGGAACAGACAGTGTGGCTTTTACAGCTGGCAGTTCCACTGGTGGATTGAGGACAGGGGCCCCGGGGAAGGAGCCCACGGATTTCAGTCTCAGCATGAACCTAGTGAGGTGACTCACTAGAAAATACCCTTGGACAGAGGCAACTAGATCTCCAAATCCTTGTTAAAGATCCCTGAGAGGGCACACTTCAGACAGAGCAGACACGGTGACTCATGGGTCTCCCATTTTTAAGATGCCGGTCACTCTAACAGAAGAGATCCAAACTCCCATCAATGCGAAACCACGATTCCCACCACAAAAGGAGTAAGAAATTATTCTGGAGACAAATGAGTAACTATGGCCCCGAAAAAACAGGTTACGCCAAGACCCATGTTTCAGTGCAGAAGCAATGTGATGAAGATTTTATTGTAACAGAACAAAGCAAATCAGGACACTTTTTCAAATACACCGATCGGCTCATTGGGTAGGAGGGCTAGGGTAAAGCTTGGAGAACTCTGCTAGCTAGGCCTTAGACGCTGACTGACAATGTACTTGGGTCCGTGACTGGTAGACAGCCGGGGCTCCTGCAGCTAGTGCATTCCTACAGGTATTTCCCTGCTAGCCACAGGGTACTACATCAGATAGACTTGGGCAAGCAGAGGCCCTTTAGAGGACTTAGGATGGCTAGCATATATGGTAAATTGGCTATCGACCTGCGACAGGTCCAGCTTCTCCACGAAGTTCCTATCAGTCGATCGGCCTTGTAGATTTCAGTTGGAGGATATTTGCTTCTTAATGGAAATTTCTACCCACAGTCTAGAGAAATCAGGGCATACCTCC